AGAACGTTTTCAGCATTTAATCGCTTAAAAATTTTTTTAAGAAGTACTATATCGGAAAACAGACTGAATGGGTTAGCTATGGCTTATATAAATAAAAAAAGAGCAATTCGATGAAAGTGAAATAATAACTGAATTTGCCAGAAATTCGCCTAAGAGGATGCAGCTGTCAGAGTGGAGCAAGTGACTGAACACTAAAACCAAAATTATTATTATTATTATTATAAATTATATATTAATAAATATTTTTAAAACTATAATAAAATGCTTGAATTAAGTCTAGAAACTTGGTGGTAGATGGTGGGGGGGGGGGTTAAGGATGAATTCTCATATCCCCTCTCTCATCTTACTTATCCAAAAAAGTGGTTAGCCCCCCCCCCATTTAAAAATCCTGGCTACGCCACTGGAATTATCAGAAATTATATTAAACAAGTTTTAACAATTGTATACCAAGCTAAATTATAGAAATATATTGCAAATATATTTGCAAAAATTAAGGCTAAATATAATTTTTCGTTAATTGTTAAAAATTGTAAGATTATTGTACCACTGTTTTTCATTCGGTCGATTTTAGCTTCACCAAATTTATTCAATTTAAACTTTTGAGCAACTTGGGGAAGACCCCCACATCCACCCCCCATCGGAACAGCCATTGATATATCTTCATTTATTGGTCCAACGTTTCTGGGTTTTCTTGTTTCAACTATTCGATCCTTACCTCCATTCATTGTAAATGCATTATTTAATGACTTCATCACAACCCATTTCCCAACCATAAGCGTGTCCAGACCTCCATGACTGGGGAGGCCAGTTATATAATTTAAATTTTTTTCTTACTACAGCGATCTATAATCTATATCTATATTTGTAACTTATTTTTGTTTTGAAAGTATATAGCAGCTGGAATTTTTTCGCCCCGCCAAATCAAAGATTTTTCTGATCATAAAATTGGTCTCCTATGCTATTACAACTATGAATTTATAAATAAGGGCTATTAAATATTGTGCTACTTAGTTATTTTTTATAAATATTTTATCAAGTATACATCAACCTTTTCTACACATCTTATTACCTACAGTTATTACACAATAAACAGTTATTTATTAAAATATTACAAATAATAAAATTCAATAAATTTAAAATTAAAATTTATCTTCTACTTAAAATTACCTACTGTTACTGTTTCAGCTACGGATATAAATACTATATATATATGTGGTTTCACCATTATAAGTCAAGAGGCCAAGAACGTCGCTGGGAAGGCCGGTGCCCACCCTGCCTCCCCCGTAGACACGGCTATGATCCCTACTATAGCCTAGTTTTTATCGACGGATCGGTTTCGGCAACCTCCGCTGGTAACTTTTTTCATTCTTAGTCTTTTAATGAAGTTTTCCAACAACCTTCCCTTATCTATCGTCTTATTGTCTTACTTATCGTATTATTATCGTCAATAATCAAAAATCCAAGGGGACGGACCCATGTGATAAGTGCCTATCGGCGAACGTTATAGATAGGTTTATAATTAGTATCTATGTTTCCCAAAATTCGTTCTCCCATAGTAAAGTGTTGTCCATGAAAGATCAAATTAGCCAATAAAATAAATGTATTATAAATTTAATAATTATAATATTTTATGTATCAATGAATAATAATCACGGAAAAGCCAAGTGGGCATGTCCTCATATTGCTCCCTCCAATGGACATTCCTTATCTGCTTTTTTCGCAACCGAATTTTTAGCCATAATAAATGCTCTTCACCTTAGGCGTAACTTGTAAATTTATTAAGGGGGGGGGGGCAAAAATATAATTAATTATCTAACGAAAAGGTTGTCCGAGGCTAAACGTCACTTTACTACCTACATATTATTATATAAAAATTCATTTTCTAACATTATGTTGGATAAGCGAAAATTTAAAATTAAAATTTAAAAAAAAAAAAGTAGTAATAGCTATAACTAGCTATTTTGTCTTATTTTAAAACAAGGTATGTTAAATATCAGAGGGGGCACTGTCCCTCTTAATTTATTCTAGGGGGAGCAATAACCCCCCCCCCAGTTTATGTCCATGGTCTTCACACTATCAATCTCTACCTATTCATAATTTTGTCATCCTATCCGATTTCCAAGCTTGTCATATGACATTAAATTCTTTTCATTTTTTATCGGCCATCTTTCATCTTGTTCTAATCCGTTCAATCCTTCTTTCTCTTGATAGTAATGGTTTTATAATTATTTTTTTATAGATATCCGGCTATACCGGTATATTAGGCAACAATGTAGCGGATTTTCTAGCTAGGTATCTCATATGTCAATTTTATCCCTTCATCTATTAAGATCCCCTATTCCGAATTTTTACCAGCTCTTAAAGCTTATGTCTCAATTTCTTGGTATCAGAAATGGGTTAAGCTACCTTCAAGGTTTGCAGTGTCTTTTCGTTCAGTCTATCTTATTTTATCTTTTTACTGATTTTACAATATCTCGCGTGAAATCAGAGTGTCCTATTCTCGTCTCCAATTTAGCCACAAGCGCCTCCCGTTTTACTCCTTTTATCTATCCTAGAATGATTCTCCTTATTGCACTTGTTGTGAGAACTTTGCTATATTATATTGCTTATAGTAGTATTATTCATTGTGTGACATGAAAGTCACGAATATCATGAAAAATGATTAGAATAATTTTTTAGTATGACTTACAGTTTAAAAATATATCATCTTTGAATATTGATTATAAATAATTTTAAATATATAGGTATTTGATAATACTATTATTATAATCAATGGTATTATTTAGGTACTTATTAGTGAATACTCCAAAGAAACGGAAATAGGGGATTAAGGCGTATAAATTAAGTTAATCTAACTTTAACAGGAATTTAATAAATACTTACGGTTATATCCACAAAATAACGTACCTACTTACATAATAATTACTAAATATTCAGTTTTCTTTGTGTTAATTTGCAATACTTTACTCTTTAAGTTTTTGATAAATAATAATCATTGATAATCTATAGTAGTGATAGGGAGAATCGAGGGAATTCGACAATCGAGATGTTAGTAATCGAAAGAATTTAACAATCTAGAAAGATTTTCTCGTAAAAACCTCTCAGTCAACTTGGTAATTACTAGTTAGTAGCTTAGTACCTATTAGCTAGTACCATATACTTAATTACGAAATCATTCACTCAGTCACTGGCATGGTTATCTACTCTGATTAGATATCCGTGGTCGCTGGCTATAAATTACATTATAATATTTGGACGATATTAGCTCTTCAAATAATTAATTCAAAGAGTATTATTAAACATTATACAAAAATAATATAACATGATATTAGTAATAAACTATTATTTATATTATAAATACATTATTATTAAAATAAAATAAACTGTAATAATAATATGTAAAAATAATATATAATAGTTGATTATTAAATAATAAACAATACGGTTTTTGATAAGTACAAACATTAAGTTATGATAAATTGAAAAGGTTATCAAAAAAAAGTAATGTTAAGTTAATATCACTATTTCTTTTATAATAATTTTATCATGTACTTTAATTCAAAACTGCGAAAACTGAATTCTGATGTAGATATGTGTGTGAATGTAATTATTTATATTTTAATAACGAAGATTTTTCTTGTTATTAGTTTATGAACAGTGACTCATCAAAATATTTTACGACTCAATGTTGGTAAATGCTGCTTTAGACTAAAGCAAATTCTAATACATATACATAACCAAAATATTATAGATTTAAGCTATATCTATTCTCATAATTTGTATTAAAAATGGTCCTCCATTTGAACTCGTATGTTAGATTTGGATATTATATTATTTTCACTAATAGGAAAGTCAAAATAAATAAATAATTCAACTATCCATATTAAATAAATAGAAAGTAAAGCTTTTTTGAATGGATAAATAACTATGTGATTATTACTATTGTCTTTTGAATAATTTATAAGACACTGACTTGATTGTTAGAATTATCAATAGTTAAAGCTATAAGATACTCTAAGGTTTTTAAATATTAAAAGTATATGTCATAAAAAATAATGTATTATAAAATCAATAGTAATTATACCCAGGTATTGTAAATTATCAAATAGATGCATACAAAATAATATTCCAACTTTTATTAAAAAAAAAAATAATATGTATAGAATAACTACATAATCAATTTATGCATAGTGCATAATAATTAGTAACCTTGAAATATTTTTATTAATTGCCTTCATACTTACTATAAATTTAATTTCAATACATACATTTTGAATACTAATAAAATCATATTAATATGAATAAGACTTAATGCTTAATGTTTTATGAGATGAGTTATATTTAACACTATCAAGTAATAATTCATCATTAATAGATGTCATCAGTGTCAGAATGTAAAATTGAAAATTCAATTACAAGTTATCAGATAAGGGCACATAACATATTATATATTTAAATACAAGGGTAGTCACCAATCTGAGGACAAAAGGTCAAAAGTGTTTTAACAGCATGGTTGAGAGGGCAGCAATTATTTTTATCGAGTGTTTGAAAGAGATTTATTTTGAAGTTAGTATAGCATGAATCTTTTATCTAATTGCATAAATACACACATTATTAACAATTATTTATTTCTAAACAAAATATGTCAATATGTCAATGATGAAGTAGCGTTTGACACTGTACATCACTCCATCCCCTTAGAAATTACAAACATTTATAAGCTAAGTAACTATCTAAATCAATCAGTAAATATTATTTGGGATCCATCGAGGAAGTTAAAAAATAATTGATATTGAAACTGTTGACAAGTGAAATAAAATTTGTTTGCATAGCAGAGGAAAATTGGTTTCATATCTGTCAGTCATGATATGCAGACTGGGTAAATAATTTTTAAATAGAAAATTAGATGAATTATAACAATCCATTTTTCAAAAGGTAACACTTTTATTATCAATTTTTTTATTTAAATTAATCACATAAAAATCAAAAAGTACACACTATAATAATTCAATTTTTTAATTCAGTTGGATAATTGCTGATTATTAATTACAACAATATGCTTATGAGTTAGGAAAATTTGTTTAACAAATAAAATCATACTAATAAAAAACAAACAAAATTCTGCCACTGTCAAAAACTTCACTTTCAGCAGCAAAAGTACATTACAACTTAAAATAAATATAGATAAAATAAAGAAGAAAATATAAAATAATTCACCAACCCCCACATGTAAAATTTGTCAACAAAAAATAAAGTTATCGATATTATTGGAATTACTATCTTTGTATATTGAGTGTAAATATTTATGAAAGCCTTGTTTGGGTGTAACAAGGGGATGTAGTAAAGCTATTAACATCATAGTTTGACTTTTGAAAATTAATATCCATTTAAATTGTTGAACAAAGTTATGGCCAAGAATATAAAGGTGGTAATGCAGAACTATAGTTGTAATTGTAAAGCTGTGCCTTGATGAATTCAACTTTGTCTTCAGGTTCTGGGAATGTGCTGGCTACACCAGTTTTATATGCATATTCAATTACTTTCACAGCGATTTTCAAAGAACACTCCTTAATAGACTGCAGTGGTGGATATAAACTACCATTTTCCAAATCTTCCTCAGTCACGAGTGCAGCTAATGTCTACAAATAAATCAAAAAAATCCATAAAACATATTCTGTGAATAAATTTTAAATGACAAGTTATACTTGAGCAGCAATGATAAAAACTTCTTCAGAAATGGTTCTGATTCCAGCACAAATAACTCCAAGTGCTACTCCAGGGAATATGTACGAATTGTTACCTTGGCCTGGGTAGTAGGTTTTCGATTTGAAAGTCACTGGATTAAATGGAGAACCACTAGCAAATATAGCTTTACCCTAGTACATATAATAATTAATAATAATAATACAATTTCAAAATCATTATACTGCAAAACAAAATTTACGTCTGAATAAGTATATGCTTGTTCAGCAGTACATTCAGCTTTGCTTGTTGGGTTGCTTAAAGCAAAAATGACTGGATGAGCATTGTACGATGACACTCCTTGAATGATTTCTTTTGTAAACACACCACCAATAGCAGCAGCACCAATAAGTACTGTAGGTTTAACTTTTTTGATAGCTTCAGCAAGTATTTTAACAGGAGCCACGGTCTTGGCATATTCTACCTTGTGTCCAGTAATTCCACCCTCAGGACGATCTTTAACTACAAGACCTTTGGAATCAAAAAGCCAAATTTTTGATCGGGCATCTTCCAAAGATGTCCCTTCTTTAAGCATTGCCATAACACATAATTCTGCAATCCCTAAGGCTGCCTATGAAATATTGTGATAATATATGTTTATTTAATTTAATTTAAAAAAAAATGTTTTAAATTTATAAAAATTTATAAAATTAAGTATAAAAACTTGTATCATCTGCAAATTATTTACCTCTCCTGCACCTTGGAATAAAATCACATTGTCAGATAACTTAGTTTTAGTTATTCGTAGAGAAGCAAACAGACCAGCTAATGCCACAGAAGCTGTTCCTTGGATGTCATCGTTAAATGTGCAATATACATTACGATATTTATCCAAGAATCGGAAAGCATTAGAATTCCCAAAGTCTTCAAACTAAAATAAACACTTCATTAAAATTCAGCTAAATATTTATTTAATAAAGAATAAAATATAAATAAAAAGGTATACCATTGATAAACATATTATTACAACATATTATTTATTTATAAAAATATAAATCTATTTATTATATTTATTACAAGTTGGGTGCCTAATATAATTCAGAAATTTTTAAATCTAAGTGGGTATTACACTTACCCACTTTACAATTAGTTGTTTATTTACAAGATAAGTTAATAAAAATAACATAAATAATAAGATAAAGCAAAATAATAATAATAATAATCATTGTAAATAATAAAATATGTACAACAAAATTAACAATAACAATATCAGTTTTATAATAAGTGTGGGTGCTCATTAGCAAGGTACATTATTCTAGCAAATTATAACGAATATTGTGTAATGTTTAAGTGAAAACCAGCCAAATTTTGACTATCAATTAAATTGCAAAAGAAAAATGTTTCTATTAAAAGGATAATAAGGGATATTTCTATTAAAAGGATAATAAGGGATATTAACAGTATAATAACAATATTAAAGTTAATTAAATACTTAATAACAAAATATTGTAACTGGAGGAAGAAGCAATTAATGGTATGAAAAAAAAATAGTCATTTAAATAACAAATAATGTTCTGAAAGAAAAAAAAGTTTTGAAAAAAAAAAATTACAAAATATAAAAGGGCAAATGAAAAGTAAAGGATTTCCATAGTGGTCTAAGAGAATTTAATTAATTACCAAAATGTTTCCTTGAAATAAAGAGGTAAAACCAGGTCCTTGCGCAAGAGGTTACATATACATTTTTACTAAGAATATACTTAGCCCTCAATCAATAAAAGTTAAGCTAACTTAAAAATGTATACATAGTTGTCTATTTTTATTTTAACTATCAATTTTTTTGATTTAACACCTATATCTATTAAATGTTCACATAATTTCCACTTAATGTCAATTATGGTTGTAAATGCAGCCATTGATAAAACATATTATAACTGACAAGTCAGCTATTCAAGCTGTTCAGATATTTGTTGATATTTATTGATTTTAGATCCTGATATTTTTGATCATGAATAATTCAACATATATTTTTTTAATGACTTCTAACCTAACATAACATACATAATTTTGAAAAAAAACTTTGGACAATTCCTGCACACGGGCCTGAGTAAAATAATAGCAAAGATAGAAAACAGTCACAAATTATAATAAAAACAAAAAATATAAGTTGAAGCACCACAAAATATTTAATCTATCGTTAATGAAAACCAAATCAGATTTAGTTTTGATTTTAAAAATAAGCATTTACCAAATACGATAATGATAAAAAACTGGAATTTTAAAAGAATCCATAATATCAAATACTTATGACTAGATTAGCAAATAGTCACAAAAAAAAAAATACATAGAAAAATTGTAGCAGATTACAAATTTTATTTAGAATTAATTAAATTGCTTAAATTTAAAAAGTTATCAAGAAGAAAAATATAATCAGATTGTATAACTCTTGTTAGCCTGATAGTATTTTATACTTGTACAGCATGGATACTTAGTAGCTACTAAACTTGTTGAAAATAAATAAATAGCATTCAAAAGGAAAATATTACAAAAAATTGATAACCCTAACTCATAATACAAATCAAAGTTAACCATAAAATATGTCCAAACAGGAAATTCCGTATTATTCCACTCAATATAGAGTATCCTCAAGAGCCAGAGAATAAGATAGGCTGAACATGTATGGAGGAGAGAGTTCATTTATACATACAGTCACAATATAGTATCCAAGTGCAAGACAGAAAATATCTAAATCCCTTAAACCAATGGTTCCCAACCTTTTTCATTCTATGCCCCCTGATAAATTTACAAAAATCTCATTCCTCCCCCCCCTAAATTAGAGTTTAGGCGATTATTTGTCATGCAATTCAAACTTTGTACCTATTAATATTAGATTAAATGCGAAAAGGTCCATCCACCATAATTATAAAATATAATTATCGATATGGAATAATCTGAAAATATATAGTGATTTCAATTTTACACATTGTAAATGTAAAATATCATAATTATTTTGGTAATTTTATCATCACTTTACTCCCCCCTCCTCCACAAAGACCACTCTAAATTCCCTCTGTTTGGGAACCACTGTCTTAGACAATAGGAGAATTGAGTTAAATAAAATTTATAAATCATAAAAGTACTGAATAGAGTAAAGGCAGCATCACAAGGATAAACAAGGAAAAATATGATATATACAGTAATGGACATTTAATATGGAAAATGTATATCTTACTTGAATTAGACAATTTTGTCCATATCGTTTGACAACAGCCTGCATGAATTCATCGATAAAATCATCATATTTCTGGCCAGTGACACGTTTTTGTCTACAACCAACATAATCAGGATCGTCCAATAGTAACTGTTAAAATATATTTATTAAAACATAAATATATTAATATAAACTTATATTTTAAAAAACATACTTGAGTATTAGTTCCACAGTCAAGTGTAATAGGAAGACATTGATGTGGTTTAATTCCAGCTAAAGCTGTGTATAATGCCAATTTGCCAACTGGAATACCCATACCATAAACACCAAGATCACCAAGACCTAGAATTCTTTCACCATCAGTTACAACAACAGCCCTAACATCTTGTTCAGGCCTGTATATTAAAAAAAAAAAAAGATTTATTAAAATATAAAAAGTTTTTATACAAGTTTTTTATTGAATTAGTTTTTTTTTTTATTTATACAGACATTTTTTGTCACATTATTTTGGATAATTTAAGTTGTTTAAATAATATTTTCATATAGTCTAGTCAATATAAGTTATATTATATAACTAAACAAAATGATGAAGGCCAAAGCTTCTAAAACATAATACTTTTTTAAAATGATAACATATATTTTTAGGTTTATACTTAGAAATGGAACATTTTTAGAAAATAAATATTGTTGTGTAAAAATTAAATATAGAAACAATAAATTGATTAGCTAAAAAAGTAATATACTAACATAATAAGTTATAATTATTTTAAGTTTAAATAAGAGGAGAAAACATTGATATACTTTATATGTATACATATATATATTTTATAATAAACATATTGAATTTACCAGTTCTTCAATACATCATATACATGACCAGCATCATGAATAGATATGAAAAGCCCCCTGGGTTTTTGGAAAATGAGACCATACTTTTGACAAGCTAATCCGACAGTTGGTGTATAAACCAATGGCATAAATGCTTCAACATTCTCAGCCATTAACCTGTAAAATAGTTTTTCATTTCTATCCTGCAAAAAAAAAATTCTCAAGATTTTAGTTAATAAGAACATATGGATTAGACCAAAGTCGTACATGCTTACTTGTAAGCCCATAAGGTATATGTATTTATTAAGATCGTCACTAAAACGGTCAATGTTAGCCAATGCATGTTTCACTTGTTCATCTTGAGTTTTAACACGTGGTGGCAATAATCCATGAATGCCCAAAGATTGTCTTTCTTCGATTGAAAAAGCCATTTCCTTCAAATTAACAAGAAAAGTTATTCCTGTCATGGTATCATTATCCATTAGTCATAAGAAACACATGATATTTCTAAATATAAGCATGGGACTTTTAATATACATGTTGTGTCCATACATCAATTATGATAGTTGGTTTTAAGATATTATAAATAAAAAATATATATAAATTAATACTAACCAATATTAAAAAATAGATACCTACCAGAAAATAAATACTTATTTACAAATTAAAATTATTTATTATTTTAAAACTATCTCAATAATAAGTCTATGGTTCACATAGTGGGCTATATATATCCTTGATTTTTTTTTTTAAATTCATGAAGAATTATTGAAACAATTTTTTTGTAGAATACAATATTAAAAATTCTTTATTAATCTAAATCAATAATATTTGATTTTTTTTTTTAAATTCACCAAATGCAGTAAAAATATCAACAATAAATTAAGTAAAAAATAAGCCAGATGTTGGGTATAGGCATCTAACTTCTGTTACACTGACATAAGAATTATTTTTTCTACTTTTAGTACTTGTTACTTTTGTCCTCTCATCAATATCGGAATTTACAGGTTTAATTAACATAGCATTTCTTACACAAACATATAGCAAAAAGTTTATCTTTCTATTATAAAATTGATGGCATTATCTTTTATTATATAAAATTATAAATTAATAAATATATAAATATATATATAAATATATATATATATATATATATAATATATATAAATTATAAATAAATAATTAATAAATTATAAAATTATTTGTCATTGGATAGTTTTATTTAAAGCATTTTGATAAATCTGAAAATATATTACATTTTCAAGTAACAAATATCAAAATGATCACACACAAAAAATCCCAGCGAATGAATATTAATAAGTTTACTATGAAATATTTTGATAGTAAATAACTAATACTAATATTAATTTTTATTTTGTTTTTGCTATTTATGCAGTATTTTCAAAAGCTTTTAAAAGTTGTAAAGTTTTATCACATATAATTAACCAAAGTACAATATGTGTTAAATTTCCAATTATAGGTTACATGATATATATAAGTACATAGTCTCAACAATATTATTTTAACCTCAAATGCTTACAGAGCCTGATTAAGAATTTTTTAGGCCCGGGACAAAAAGAAAAAGTTAGCCTATTTTTATGAATTGTAATTTAAATTATAATTAGTAAATATAATAACCAGTCAATAATTAATAGTATATAAAACAATATTCAAATGTAGGTACTTTTTAACAAAATCTTCAAAATTTAAAAAAAAAAAATGTTTTTATAAGTAAATTAAACAGTAGGTATTTAAATATATTACAAAATCTTCAGAATTTATAAAAAAAAAAAATTTCTAGCCTTTTCTTCTTCAAATAACGTCATCGAAATTAATGCTTGCAGTGATTTAATTTTCAATGAATAAGATTCCTAAGGCATTCAAAATTTCTTGGCCCACGGATGATCTTAATATATTTTTAATTCTTTTGAGAACTGAAAAGGATCTTTCGCCTCATCAGTACAATTAGTTATTGGCATTGCAAAAAATATAAGCAAACATGTATCTACATTTTGAAACATGTGAGATACTTGCATATTTTTAATAAATTTAATTTGGTCAGATGAAGTAATTATTGTATTTTTATCATTTGTAGATGTAATTAAACTAAGGATTAAGGACTTAAAGGATTTATACTTAAGGATTAATTAAAATTAAAAGAATAATTAAATACAGTAGGTGGTCCCCTGATGGGCCCTAGACAAATACCCACAATGTCTCTGCGTATATAGGGCCCTGAATGCATATAATATCTATGTTTCTATAGAAATTTAGTTCATAATAATATGAATATACACCATAAAGAAATATTTACATTATTACCATTACCATCAATGAGTATATAATATATTTAAACAAAATATGAATACCTACAACAATGCTTTTATTTTAAATTTCAATTGCAGGTTAAAATATAACTTTCATAACATATTACATAGTTATAGATTTAAAATATTAATAATATTAATTAGTATTTAACTGTCGAAAATAATTTAATTCACTGAAGTAGTAATCGGCGACCTCTGCATTCAGCAGTGGTGCAGAACTTTTTATAACTTCATTTATAACTATTTAAGATGATCTTCTAGTTCAATATGTAAGATTCCAAGACTGCTTAATCTTGACTCCATTGTACGTTTTCAGCCTCGTAAACAATAAAACTTTTTTCGCATAATGCGTAATCAATTGGTATAGTGATAATTTATCAATAATTTATCACTGATAAATAATTTAATCAAATACGCTATTGGAAATTTAGCTTTATAGTTTTCTGATGCAATTAAATGTATTTTTGATTGTACATTATTTTCTTTACATATGTTTTTATACCTTTCGTTTAAAATTACAGTTTCCGCTTTAGGATTATTTTCATCAAAATCATATATTTTATTTATTTATAATAATTAATATTTGGCTTATCATTTAAAATTACAACATGCATACAATTTAAACCATAAATTATTTTCTTCAAACCTTTCACTTATGTCATTAATATTATTTTTTAGTTCAACAAAATAAAAATATTTATTTAATAATTTATATTTTTAATCTCCTTTAATCTACCGCCAAGTTTATTTTTCTCCAGGCTACGCATTTATTATATAATTAATTTCTATGTATAAACTATTTATTTATATATTAATTTACGAGTAATAACTAATTACTAATTATTTTGTTTTATTTTATTATTTCAAGATAAAATATATTTACACTAGTGCTGCAGTATATCAATACGAATTTAATTATTAATTATTAAAATATAAATAAATTTATTATTATATTAATAATATTACAGTTAGGCATAGTTGTTAAATTTTTAATTAAATACATTTTTATTTTTTTAAAACTCTGAACAAGATATTATGGAGTTACAAAATGATACACATGTGACTCAATGATATTTCCAAGTGTTGCAAGTATGACCCCATGCGACCCCCAGTTTATATCTCTGCAATATGTTATCATTATTTACAAAAGTATTATGATCATCATTAACAGAGAAAGTAGTTTCAAGTTGAAACTTTCAACATTATGACAGATTATTACATTTAATTAAAATTTAACTTGAAAACAATATCTAGTTTTACATTTTTTTTTTAATTTATCAAAGTATACAATAAAATAGGGCAAGATTCCATGGCTGTGGGTGATACAGGAATGGGTGAATGGTATTGATTTATTGGTATTTTAAGCTTGAAACTAATATACTAATGAAAGTGATCAGGTGGATTAGTTTGTATTTCTAAAATTGGTTGATATAGTCAATAATGTTCCCATCAATTTTCTTGAGAATATACTTTACCGACGAGTGTCTGAATATGGACATTTTTATTATTTACAAAAATAAAAATTATAATTATTTAAAATAATTGATACCATCGTAAATACCATAAAGTATACCATCAATAATTACTTCATAATAATACACTAATCGTCTGAAGGAAAACTGAATGTCTATTACAAAATAAGGTCAAAATTAAAAGCTGTAAAATTAATAAAATAATAAAATAAATAAATTACATTCAATACTTTTCCATATTGCTTGAGACTTGAAAGTATACGTAGAATATCCTATGGGAATTAAGCTGAATAAATCGGTAGAATAAACAAATTTCTTAATACAGTAGGTTAAAATTGTAACAATCTAATTTTAGCGAAATCTAAACATTTCAAATTTGAGGAAATCGATAATTTTTAGTGCCTTTAAATAACATAAATTTCATTAAAAAAATGCAAAACTATGAAATGTATTTAACTAAGTAACTAGTATTGTTTAATGGAAATTCGCTGAAATATTCAATTTTGTAACGTTTATAAATCATTTTTTTTGACTTTCCAGTATTTTTTTTTTTTTTTTTACAAAGAAAACTAAACAAAAAATCTTATATTTTTATAATTTTTAAGCCTTAAGTATAAAAACGGAATATTTTATGATTTTTACATCTTCGTGATTTCTATTTTTTTGTCAAAATTAAATTTTATAACGCTCGTAAAATGTTTTTATTTATAATAAACTCATTTTTTTTTTTTTTTTTTAATGGGTACCTAATAGATTTATATGAAGAACTTTGTATTACATTTTCAAGACTTTTTATCACAACAAAATTATTTTATCGACATTTTTATCAAAAAAACGTAAGAAAACATGAAAATTATAATTATTCTAACATTTCAGAAAAAAAAATCTTTTGGAAGTTAAAGATACCATTTATAAAAAACAGTGATAAAAACATTTAATGAAAATATTATTTGTTAAGTTATGAAGAAAAAAATTCTACATCGAAAACCGGTACACCGTAAATGTTGTATTTTTATAACTTTTAGTTCGTTTTTGCAATTTGGTCGACCCCATATAGTTGAGGGAGAGGTGAAGGAGAAGAAAAAGAAGTTTATTTTTCCCAATTATTGTGTAAACTGTTGGAGAATTCGTAAAAATGGCCCCTTAAACGTTCCAATTAGTAAAATTAATATAATAATAAAATAAGAAAATTAAATAATAATATAATAATAAAATTTCTTATGAGAAATCTCTAATAATTGTGATGATCGGAGTAATTTTTCTTATCAAAATCGTGTACACAGGTCAAAAAAAAAATGTTCATGATAAAACGAAGTGCGATTATTAGTGGTAATGAAGTTGAAATTTGTTTTCCATTTTTCTCAATAATTTGGAAAAAACATTGAAAAATTCAAAAAATCACTACTCGAACGTATCAATTAGAACCCATATCCTTTTTTAACTCATTTGATGATGATGTCAAAACACTCATTTAGGTAAAAACCGTGTACTTTAAAGTTTAAATTAATTCAATACTACGTTAATTATTAGTACCAAAATATAATACAAATAAATTATGATTTTCAATTATAATAGACTATGGTGAAACTTCCTTTAGTGATAAATTATGTTACTTAACGTAAAAAATACAATACT